TCCACAAATTCTGAAGCGAGGGTTATGGGGAATGCGCAGTTACTCTGCATGAGTTCTTACACACAGTAAGAACTGCAGTAAACCGTGTTTACGCGATCTTTTTTGATGAGTTCCGACGATTTATTTTTATTATAAGTGGGCCGTGTTAACTTGGAAGTCGCACATGACCTAAGTGCTTTCCATCTATTATTGTCAAGTTGCAAAAAGTAGAAGAAGGTGCTTCTTTTAATGGACTCCAGGGTAAAATAAACTGGTATCGCCAGTGACGCATCTAGAGAGGCCCCAGAGCGAGCTAGACTGTCAGCTTTCTCGTTCCCTACGATGTTCATATGTCCAGGAACCCAAATGAGGGTGATATCAGCTAACTGATTTACCTCGTCAATTGCTGCTCTACATTCCTTTACTATTTTTGATTTTATTATGAAAGATTCAAGGGCTTTAATTACTACCTGGCTGTCTGTTGTTGTAGTTCACTACTTTTCGAAAATCTTTAAATGAAATAATTATTTTTGAAAAATGTGATATACAGTAATTCGAATTATTTTTTTTTTAGTTTTGTTTAAAAAGGCCTATAATACGACTTATTAGTTGATTTTTATTTTATAAATAATAACTGTTACGGTCCCTGATTATAATTAATGGTTGTTTTGAGTATTTCTGTAGGCTTTTAGTTACAAAAAGAATTAACTGGGTGGTACCCGTTTTATAAAAAAAATATTCTTAAAAGTAAGAACAAATTTTTGTTCATCGTTTTCATGGTATGCAGCTTGTATAATATACCATAAATATATTTTATGTTATATTATATTATTATTCAGAACATCATCAATATGCTTATATAGAAATAACATCTGCTATGCAATGTGTGCTGGTATTATTAATCGTACCCCTTAATATGTAAATATGAGCTCATCGCGCCCCACACAGTCAACTTAACAAAATTCGTAACTTAAAGACAAGCAAAACAACAATTTACTAGTTAATTATTAAGTAAAAAATTTCTTTTTTGTGCTTTTAAACATATTTTTGAAAAAATGTTTACTCTTTTTTGTTACTCGAACATGTACGATTTATCCATAAACACACATTTTGTTGAGACGCACCGCGCCCATGTTTTCACAAGTCATTAAGCCAACGCAAAAAGCCTAAATACATTTTTAAGGCAAAACGTGAGCAGATACGAGTATCGGCAACGCAATCTTTGCAATTTTCAATTACCTTTTTTGTTGCTATTAAAAAAAAATTCAACCTAAAAGTATTTTTTTTATTCTAAGACATTAATGGATATAATTTTTTTCAAATCAATATTAATAGCTTCATATACTAAAACAATAGGTACGTATTAGTCTTTGCTTTTAAAGCAAATATTTCAAAGATAAATGATGAGTTAAATATTTTTATCAAAGCTAAATGGGTTCGTAATAGATACATTCCGTGAATCATATTTACATAAATGGATTAAATATTTGATTAAAATTTTTAATTTGGGATTTTGCATAGATAAACAGTGAAATTTCAAATTTATACTTTATATATTGCATTAATCAACTCTGCATATTTACATATTATTTGAATATCATATATGGCATTACATTATTATATATTATATTATGTTTGTTTATCTTTATATGATATAACCTATTTGTGACTCCATTAAGGAGCTATTAAAATTTCTACAAATGCAACAGGTCAAAATAAAATTTTAAATTTTAAATTTCAAAATAAATATCTTATTTTTTTATCTAATAAAATTTCTCATTTGTGAGATAATTAAAAATACTGAAATTTTAATATTTAATTTTAAAAGCTAAATTTTTTCTCATGATTATTAGTAATAAAAAATGCTATGGTTCAATAGGTTACATAAAAATAAAAATTAATTAAATGAATAAACTTATATATAGCAATTAATTAAAGGTAAATGAGTAATAGTTTGTTCGAGGTAATCACTCATTACAGTAAAAGTTAATTAAAGTGTAGAAAATTGACTACATCAAAACATGATTTCACCAATATTAATTACTTTAGTTATTTTACATTCCTTTAAATGAATACTAATGTTTTAATACTCTCACTTTTTTAAAACTCAGTAAAGGTGGCATATATAGGAGGGTATTAGAGGATAGTTTCCCCCTATATAAATTAAACTGCTGCTAAATCAGTTAGTACAGTTAATGTTTTTTCTGGTATATATTCCTTTTTAGTATAATCTTGATCACACTACTGCTGAATACGAGGATCATTATTTATAAACCTTAGTAATACTGATTGTGGTCAGGTATCAACTATAACGTATCTTAGACTTTTAATCAAATAAGTGTTGTTTATGCTATTTACAGTGATTTGTTAATTGAGTGTTCGCGAAAAAATGGAATTAACGCGAGAAAATTTTCGTGCGATGATTTATTACAACGTTCGAGTGCATCGGCACTCCATCCTTTGGCACTGTGAAACGCTAGTATAATGATTTTAATTATGGTCCCAATTCACCCACGGATGAAATCCGGGAAAGTTTTGCAAAATCAGTTGTTGTGCCAGATAATATTGATACTGTGCAAAAACTGATAATCTAAGATCGTCATGCGACATATTTTTCCTATGGCTTAGGTCACGATAACCATTTTATATGACAAAATTCAATAATAAAACAATATCGCTTTTTCGTGGTCATTATGGCATACCATTACTCGTAAACGGTCAATTCGAA